TAAGACCTTTTGATGGTTATGAAGTTAATATAAAACTTGCATTAAATATTTGCGAAGGATTACGACCAGAATTTGCTTCTGGAACACCTGATTGTTATGTTAAATTGGCGAAACAGTGCATGGATTCCGATCCACAAAAACGGCCTAATACTTCGGATATTAATAAAGAAATCGAAGACTGGCTTGTAACGTTAGCTTTAGATGATGAAAATGAAATCAAAAAACAGTTCTTAAATGCTGATAAAATCGTTAAAACATCATCAATAACTCCTCAAGAGTATTCTAGTCACATGAACATTAGCAAAATTATTAATATACAAGATATATCAAGTGCAATTAACGGTAGTAAAGCTATCGAGCCTTTTGAGATCTCTATTGGTAAGTATTATTGATATTCATAAATATAAAAATTTATTATTTACATTATTTTGATTTCTAGATGGTTGAATTATTTAAGGTAATACTCTACACAGTAGCATGGTTGAATGTCCATCTGATTGGCCGATGATCGTTTTATTTTTTTCGTGATCTTGATTGGCTATTATTTTTTATTATATGGTTAATTTTTATATGATATGTATTAAAAAAAAATTACTAGCATAGTAATGCTTCGTATAAAGACAAACATTTGCTTGCGATATTGTTATCCCGGCATGTATGTATAGTTATAAAAACAATTATTATATAGAATTAATGAGTCGATAGTATCTTTTCTAATAAGCTATATAAGATTAAAAAAATATGTTTTATAAATAAATTATAGGTTTTAGCGTTTATTATTGTTACGTATTTCTTTAAAATATTTTGTAATCTGTGTTTCAGTATTACGAAAAATTGCGTCGTGTGCATATTAAACGTGCTAATATATTAAACACAATTGAATTTTCGAAATCAAATTCTTAAATAAAATGCCTAGACAAAAAATTAATAACGGGTCTTGTTTGATTTATAATTGTGATAAACATCAGGATAATTTTCGTTGTCTGATTCAATTAGCAATGAAAAAAGCAATTGTTAAACAAACTATTCAAAAATATTTATACTTACAAATAGGTTACCAAGTTTACCATTCTCATTATATGTCCATTGTTGAGAATGAAAATATTGAGCATAAAAAACCAATCATTTCAAGTAAATCAGATAAATTTTCACTCAATGATAATATTAAAAAATGACAACAGTTTTGTATAAAAAAAAAGATAAAATAAACTTGTTTTTTATTAATATGAATTTGAAAAAGCTTGAAGATGCAGATTCTAATTTCAGAGGTTTTTTTTACTAAAATGTGTAGTATATTAATACATATGATTATTCAAACATTTAGATTAAAAAAATTGATACAATTTTATAATTGATGGTTGGATTGCATAATAAGCATGTAAATACTTTTAAATTTGAATTTGTTTTATATTTTGCCAAATCTTAAACTACATATAATGCAATTGTAAAGTAGAAATTGAGATTTGGATAAATTCTATAAGAGTATAACAGTTCAATAATTAGTCTTAATTGCAAGTATTAAGGGTAGTGGGTATAGTAGATCATTTTCTATATAATCTACATAGTAAATTACATTTTTAGTAAAAAATAAACAAATACTATAATAAATGATTTTTAAATTTTAATAAAAATTTATAAATTTTTTATAATATATATTAAAATAATATATATCTTTTTATAAAATTTTAAAGTTTATTAATTATAAAAATTTGTATTTATATATGTTATAAAGTTTTGTTTAAATTAATTTAAATTTGCTTAGATGACAGTCAGACCAAAAACTCTTTCTGATGATTATTCAAACCAAACTTTTTAGAAAGCTGAACTACAGAAAAATAATATAGTTAATATATTAAACTTTATAAAAACTTTTCCAAAGTATTGTACATGCATAGTTGAACATTAAAATAGAGTTGAAAAAAAAGTTGCAGCTTTGTGGTAATGATTTAAATACATTTTGGGACTATAGAAGAAGTAGTTAGTGAAAACCAAATTTTTTTTTATAAAGTAAACAACAAAGTTGGATATATTAGTTCTATACAACTGTAAAACCTACAAAAAACACCTATAAAGGTCAAGAACTTACAAAAACTACAAAGTTGGTTCACCTCTCACCTTTACTTTGCTTTAAGGAAATTTTGTAAAAGTGAATTATTTAGCTTACCCCTCCTAAAGATTGATATATAAAACTACCAAAACAGTCAGCAGTGTTTATTTTCTAAATGGGTTTGTTGATGACATAGATCAAAACAAGACAGTAATATAAACACGACTATACATATGTCTCAAAATACTAAAAAACCTGAAAATACTGTCATTGGACTAACTAGTGCTCTATATTAACCTTTTATGATCAAGTTGAAGATTTTTTTTTCTTATATAGTTTTTTGTTAAATAATCTAAGTAAATAGAAAAATAGTAAAGTTATTTCTATTTAGTATAGTTTATAATTTTTAAAGACTCAACACAGGCATACAATTGTGACCATCTGATATTTGTGAATTGCAAGTTTTACACATTTCCTTTTTTCTTGTTTATTCTCTTTCCCTTTTTATTTTTTGATTTGTATCTTTTATCATTTACTCCTATACCTCTGTTTTGTTTTTTACATAAAAAATTCTTTTTTTTTGTTTTTTTGCTTTCCTACGAAAAGATGTCATAAGATTGGCGATGTCCTATTGTAGGGCAGTAGTCAGACGAGCAGTCTATCTCTAACTGGAATAATATGATAGATTGTACTTAGGTACCATTTGGATGACCAGGTAATGCTAGACTTAAATATCAAAAAAATTCTATGTAATCTGTATAGTTTCAAAAATCCTAATAAAGTACTAGCGTGACTGCTAAAGTTAAAAAAAATAAAATAAAATAAAAAATAAATAATTTGTGATTATGATTCAAATTATATAATAGAATCATTGCACATTCAAAAAGAACAGCAGGTTTATAGATACATTTTGGTAAGAATTAATAATAACAGCAGCAATGCAGTGTTTATAAGCACTGTCTGTATATTTGCATTGTTTGTATACTGTGCAATAATGTACGTACATATGTTTATGTATATTGGATTGTGCCAATTTTTAATAATAAGCATTAACCAATAGAATTTATAACACGTGATCAGGATGAATATGATTGGTTAATTTCCTTGCGCCAAATTTTTGGTTTATTATAAAAGTTACCAAACTTTGATTTCTTATAACTTTTGTAAAAAACAAGATATTAAAAATCTGTTTTACAGATTTATAGTTTAATTTACAAATAATAAATCTGTAAGAGGGATTTTTAAAATAATTATTAGTTATAAAGTTATTAAGCATTAAACAATTGCTAAAAAATTGGATGTTTTTTTGCTGTCCCGCACTGTATAAATTTATAAACATAAAGACATATAATAAGTGCCAAGCTACCATAGATACGTTTTATAATAAATGCGCTAAATAATAAATATGATAAAAATAAATACTAAAGTAAATAAGATTAGACTAAATTTTATATCACAATATAATAAAAAAAAAAAATTTTTTTTGCTATTTATCCAAAACATTTTTTCCCGTTACTTAAAACAATTTTTTCGGGTCCCTGCACTGGATGCAGGTCAGTCACGAGACCTAGCATCCTCGATTTTTTATTGGCAGTTTCGGACTAACATTGCATGATTGTAAAAGTTACATTTTTAACTTACATGTAACTTACAATCTTACACTAAGATACATATAGCAATTTAGATTTAAATTACATGTAACTTGCATTAAAAATTTAAAACTTACACAAAATGTTCAACCCTAATGATCATCTGCTTGAATAATTAAGCCTTCGGACAAGAAAAGTGATACATATTTATATATATTTATCTATATGTGACACTTAAAGATATCGATATAAAGTACATGCAACAAAAAGTACAACATTAACTTTATTAGTACGTAAGTTGATCAAAAATATTGGAGGTGGCTAAGACCATAATGATAAGATATATATATATATCTATACATTTTTAAATTCTTAAAGGAAATCAATTAAAGCACAAGGGAGATATATGAGATTATGGTGTGTTAAGATATGTAATAATCAATTCTCTTCCAGGTTAGATACTATAATTAATGCGTATTAAAAATCAACAAAAATATATCATAATTATGAAACATTACATCAATATCGAAATGTAGTTAACACACTAAAATGTTTGCTTATTTTACTATATATGGATAGAGAATAAACTACGTACGTACGTACGCACGTACCGGTACGTATACGTACGTATTAAAACAAGGGTTCCCACAATTTTTTAAAAGCTTGCTAAAAAGTAACATTCACCGAAATACTTGAATTTATAGTAAATTTACAGATAGAGAAAATTTTAATTGAAATACAGTATTAAAATTTTTCCAATAAGTTTTTAATATGTTTTAATATTTGATTTGTACTATATAACAAGAGAAAACAAATGAATTATTGCTCATTTATGCATTATTTAGCTAAATATAAATTAAAAAACACAAATGATTAATATAACACTAAATAACAAACCAATAGACCATTGCAAGAAATAAAAATTAGATACAATCACGACTATTTCACTATATAAATCATTAGGTTTTTTAAACTAGGGAATACATTATGATAATTACGAAAAATAATACGTAGGTACACAAATATGGTTTACAACAAATGAGTTTTTTTTTTTCTAACAGATACCTAACGAAAATAAAAAAAAAAAAATCTATACAAGTGGAATTGGGTAATCATGGTCCCTTGTAAACGATATTTGAATGATAAGATTCAGGAAAAGGCGAGGAATTAAAAGGGAAGCCCATAACAACCATTAAAAGAAATGAAATAATAAGTAAAAATACATAAATTAATAAAAGAAAAAAGTCATGCCAAAACATGACAGTTTGTACACGTTTATCGTTCACGAAAAGCTTTTTTTTCATTTGAAAGAATAATAAGAATCTTTTTGTTATTCAGTAATCCAATGACTTCCTTTTTTTACATATTTGTCTGCTAATATACCAAGATCTTTCACAACAAATCGACAAAGTACATTTCCAAAGTAGTCCGCAAATTTATATAGTCGATCGAGAATTTTTAAGTGATTAGCATGATATGGAGCTTTCATGGAACAGAAATGACGGATGTATTTTTCTATTTATAAAATTAAAATTAACATTAAAATTAATATTAAATTAACATTAAAATTGTTAATTAGAAAAAGACTATTAGGGAAAGTTTTAAATTCACCACTAACCTACAACATCGACATTCTGAAATACTTTTAACAAAACATCTACATATTCATTAGCTTCTTCGCTACGAATTGTTGCATTGCTCATACCCATTTTATCAAGGCCACGAGACAATTTTGAGCCCCAATTCATGAGTGTACTTGTACTCTGCCGACCTTTCCCATTTGTCGATTCAACATAACTTAATTTTCTGGCTAGAGAATTTTGAAGACCTTCAATAATAGGTTCTATACCCTCCAATACCTATGAATGAAATGAATGGAATGGAATGGAATGGAATGAATGAATGAGTGAATGAATGAATGAGAGATAAAATTTAAGTAATGGAATAATATATATATAATTTAATATTAACCTTTACTAATACATCCATATCATCAACTGAGGTCTTTGATAACCTTACTAAACAATTAAGAACAACATCACAACTAGAAATCTTAGCATCGATAGAAGTCAATTTTGCATGACCTTGTAACCATAAATTTCTAGGAATATATAATTTTGGAGTCAGGTAACCTCCACTTGTCATTGTGCGTTCTAATAACCTCATAAGCCAGAAAGGTTTCAAGTGTACATCATTAGGAGGAAGTTCAGACATTCCGGGATTAGATATAACAGGAGCACCAGTATCATCATCATAAATTAATGGATTAGGATAAGGGTTCACAAGACAACTAGCGTAACCAGAATCAACAGTTCTAGTAGAATATACTGTTGGAGAGTCACTTCGGAATGGTGTAGAAAGTCCAGGGCTACCTAATGGTGGAGAGATGAAACTAAGACTATTTGTCCACGGAGTACCAGGAGTTCCCGGAGATTGAGATGAATGTGTATTAATGAAGAAACGTGAGGCACCATTTTTTTTAGGAGCATTACCAGGATTTGAAGTAGTCCTTCGTGGAGTTCTTACAGGACGTGACAAATTTGGGGAATCAGGTACAGGATTAGAGTTCGAAACAATATGACCGGGTATGACACGAGAATTATAATTGTTATTTTGTTGAGATAGAGGAAGGGGAGAAGGGCGTCTGTTATTTATCAACGTCTTACTGAATAATTTTTCCATAGATGACTGAGACGTTGATGGAGAGGAAGGAGTTACAGACTCTGTAGTAGATTTTACTGAAGCCTTATCATCCTCTTCATCAGAATTTGAACGAGTTAATGGAACGGTGAAGTTTGTAGATGAAGAGATTTTTGAAGAAGCGGCTTTTTTCTCTAGCATTGAAGTAGTCTGAGGAGGGGAAGATGGTGGTGGACGTGGAGTATGAAAAACAGGAACACCATCAGGACGAAGATTAGGGCTGGTACTTGAAGAAGTTGGAGGAGCAACTTTTGGAGGAGGAGGAGGGGTAAAAATTCGAGCAGAGGAAAGTTTTTCAGATTCTGATAGAGATATAGATTCTTTAATAATTTGAGAAGAAGAAGAAGATGATGATGATGAAAGATCTTTTTGTAATGATTCTTGAGATAAAGCGGATGGAGGAGAGATTGAAGAGGAAGAAGATTTTATTGAAGAATCGCGATTTATATCAGATAAATAAGTATCATATTTTGGATCAGAAATTTCAAAATTTTGGGCATCAGAACCATTTGCACTGGAATCAAAGTCGTCAGAACTAAAATCAACATCATCCGAACTTGTAACGGATTCAGCGACATCACTGACATCAGCAATTGATTTTGAACCATTAGCAGTGATCTCATGTATTGATTTTGAAGATGTCCATGATTTAGTAGTGGAAGTTGAAATGGTAGATTTATGGGATAGAACTGATAATCGCTTTGGACGCGCTATGTAATCAGCATTTTTAAAATTATCTTTTGAGTTAACTTGATAATCTATACCATTTTTTATACCACCATTTGCTCGAATTGAAGTGTCCATTTTCACATGAGCATTTGAAGGTAATGTATTTTCGTTATATTTTATTGAAGAATTTTGATCTATTGAGTCATCACTACTTATAGATTTTTGACCATTAGAATCAGTTGTACGAGGGGAAGTAATTTCGATAGGAGATGAATTATTAGAGTATTGTGATGTAACATTATTCAATATATATTCACTTATATCTGGCTCATTATCTACATTACTAGCACTATCATCTTCAGCTTCTAGAACTATAGTCGATAGTAATCGTATCCGATCTGCGTACGTATCGTGCTATTGTAATTATAAATATATATATATATATTTTATTGGTTAGATATATAATTTGAAATTTTGAATTTCTATTATTTTACAATATTTTACTAATTTTTGTTGATTATCACCATTACTTTTTTTTTTTTTTTAAAGAATTACCGGAGGTAAAACAATAATTCCCTTCTGTAAATATTCTTTCAAAAATCTTTGGTATACTATGCAACTTTTTTTGAGGATTAACAATTTAAATTACATGTGAAAGAAAGCGAGGAAAAGATTTAGATAATGGAAAATTTGAAAAAGCAGCATAGCATATCAAAGGTTTTTTTTAAAAAGAATACTTGTAGAAAACATTCATTTGTGGACATACTTGATTAAAATGATAAAATAGAGAAAAATGGATGGACTTACGATAAGTTGTAACCTCCGACGATCTGCTTCGTTTGCAGCATTACCTATAACTTGTGATAGTAATTCAACAGTCTCTTTATAAGCTTCAAGTGCAGCTGCAACATTGTTTGCCTCATCAAAATGAACAGCTTTCTGGGCTTTTTGAAGGGCGACCGTTAATATAGATTTAGATTGAGTTCTGGGTGAGGGAGGATTTCTTTGTATTGAAATCGGCACTATTGAGTCGTCAACTTTTTCGTTATTCATGTAGCCCAGTGTTGAAGGAGGAGGAGTGAGATGATTGGATGTAGTATTCGTAGCCATGGTAAGTAGATTAAGTATGAGCTATAATAAATATTAAAATAAAGGTGGACTCTAAATATAACGGTATTTTAAGGTAAATAGAAGGAAGAAAAAGAAGGAATAAGGAGTTTTTTAGTCAATGTTTAGGGTAACTATTTTTTTTGCTGGCACCTCGTTTCGACAGAAATCCGAGATACTTTTTAGCAACCATATGACAGCTAAGGAGCGTTTGGCGCAGTCTAAAGAACAAGGATAAAAAAATTGATGGTTGTCGAAGGAAAGCCCTAATGTGTGAAAAATAAGGTAGATCTCTTTACAGGAAATTTAAAACATGATAGTGTTACTATAGAGGGAAAAGTTATGTAGGTTATGCTGGGAAATGCATCAAAGGAAGTTTTGCAAGGTTATGTGTTGCAAAGGGGAGTTGTATCTATCGCTATCGCGACACAAGCAAACTTTGAACAAAATAACCGTATATTGATACATGCAAAAGTGGCAACAATGTGTATTAAAGTACTAAGAATCGAATTACGAAATTAACGAATTGCAAATTTTCATAAAAACAAATAGGCATTCCATCATTCCTTCTTTTGGCAGTTTTAGTAGTTCAAGTAATTAATTGGTTACACGAAATTCGACTTCAAACATTTCTGTACCATATATTAAATATTAGTATATTTCGATTACCTGAATCTTTTTTTTTCTTATTATCAATTATACGATTTAGTTAGTGTTTCGCCCTTAATCTGCTCTACCCCCTCTGCTATGCTATTGACAAGTTTGCACTCTAGAAATTATTATGATAAATATTAACGTAGATTATGCATATATTATTCTATGAACTTTGATTGGTGCAAATGGTCTTTATACTTAAATTACTTTTCATTGATAACCAATTACATGTTGTTTGTTTATTCTTATCTGTCGTTATCGTTATATATTATGCTATAACGATGATATTATCTATCTCCATGTCACACCATGCGACAGCAGTAAAACATAGCATATACTTGCCCTTTGTACTGATGTACGTATGTACAAAATTCAAAAAATCCTTGTAGTTTTGCGATTACACCATTTTTAGACATGTGATAAATATTGTCCTCATTTCGTGTTATATGTTATATACGTACATGCGTATGTATGTATGTATATATGTATGTATGTATATATCAGTATGTATGTATATATCAGTATGTACACACACGCACAAAGAATCATTCAATTATAAAGAGTTTCTTTCAGGATACCTTTGTGTAGTATTTGGTATGGATCTACAAATTTAAATCTCACGTTTTCCTATAACTCATCTTACGAAATTCATTAACCTATTAATTTATGTGAAACTTAATTCCAGGATTTACCGACTTTAAGAAAGAACTACGTACGTACGTAAAAACAATTATTGTGCTTCAACTTTTGTAGCCGTAATTAATTCTGTTTAGTAAGCTTTTACCTATTTTGAGTTAGCTAATGTTACATTAATAATATTAATTATGTTAAAATTATTATTATTATTTTGTTAACTTATACAAATTATTATTATGTAATAATAAATTTAATACGTAATATCGAGATAAACAGAAAAAATACCTTTTATTAGAAATAATTGCTTTTGGAAATTTTTGTTGCTTGTCAAAATTAAAAATTGTAACTGTTTAACTATACTATATAAAAATTACATTATAAAAATATTTTACTAGATGAAATAATTAAGGGTAGCTTATCGTTATAGCTAAGGCAGTCAGAAACCAAATAATTTAAAATTTATAATAAAAGAATTGGCTTTAAACGATTCAAAAAATATTATTGTAAAAAATATATCAAATAACTCAAACATTCTTTTAAAAAATGTAAAACCAAAAAATTTTAACATTCATTTATATTAAAGTTCTTGTTTGTATTAAAGTTTAAATAGTAATAAAATATATAATAAAATTATATAAAATTTTTTTTGTTTTTTTTTTTTGTTTTTTTTTTGTTAAAGTTTTTATCTTGAAGATGCAATGTTTTTATTCAAGTATATTAGGACATGGTATGCTACCAGAGGCTTACCTTACATTGGAGGTTACAACTAGTCACATGTGCACTTTTGGTGCCTAATTTAAGTAGTTCATTTATACATTGCTATATAAGTTCTACACTAATTGCTATACCTGCAAGCTGACTAGAGGTCTTGCCTATTTTTAAGTCTTCTGCATATGCAGTCTTCCTTGTATTATGAGAACATCTCAAGATTACACTTATCCAAGTTCCTGATGCTTGTTGTTACCCTTAGGACTAGTTTATTCTTGACAGGAAACTTACTAGAATCTTTATGTCCTATATATATAAACCTAGTTTTATATAACATGCTATAGTTATCTAACATTTGCAGTTACAAAGGTTACTTATTTAACTGTTACATTATACTATTTCTACTCTTGTAAACTTTACTAAAACCCTAGTACCTATCTTTTTGGCATTTTCTTCATCATTTCATACTAGCTACAATTCAAAACTGTTAGTCTTATTCCAGACTACCAATTCAGATAGCCTGATATAGTATACTCTGTATTCTTTTCTTTCAGCAAATCTAGCAGCTTAGTTGGTTATATGCTTTTTTATATATATTTGACATTCAGTTTTAACCTTTAGTTTCTATGAAAGTATTTTGTGAGTTTCAATCAGTCTAATGATATTGTTGAAAATTTATGCTATCTTTTTATTTGGCAATTTCTAAGTGGGTTTCTGTTACCTCAGTTCTTTAGTCTTCTATGCCTAATAGTTTTATCATGAGTTTGCACTGAAGTCTTATGCAATACCAGTTATACATTCTTCTATATATGTATAATATTACACTTTACATAGATGCCTGAGCTTCTAAGGTTGGTAGAACCCAACTTGGTGTACCTAGATAACAGCCATATAAAGCTAATTGATCAATAGGAAACAGTTATCATAATACAGATATAATTTCTAAATTTTATCGTATGTGGGATTTGAATCTTAGATCTGTCACTTGAAGGATAACAACTCAATCACTACACTAGGATCACCATCTTCAAAATTTTTTTTATTAGAATACAAATAATGGTTTCTTATATAAATTTTTAAGAAATAAGTAATTTTTTTAAAAAAGCATTTAAGTTTTTCTAATTATATTATATGTATTATATTAAATTATAATTAGTTATTAGATAATTTGTTATTAATTTTGTATATTTTTATATTTTTTTAAATAATACTAAAATTATTAGTTTTACTATATAATCAAATTCTTTTTTTTTTTTGTATTAAAATAAGGTTTTGTCTAATCTTTATTATTAATTTGTTATGAACAACTACATGAATTGACACAGGCTAAAACCAATTTACAAATTTTTTACAAGAATGTGACTTAGACTATAAACAAAATTATTATTTAATTTAATCTAATTTATTTGCAACCTAAACCTACTAAAGTAGTTAAAACTAAGCTTATTGATAAAACTAATATATTTTATCAAATAAACTTGATAAAACTAAAAAATTAAAGATGCAACTTAATTGTTAAATTAATAAAATAATAAAACTAATAATATTGGTAATATGGTGAAACTAAAAATATTAGTGATATGGTGAAACTAAAAATATTAGTGATATGGTGAAACTAAAAATATTAATAATATAGTACAACTAGTTATTCTAAATTTGTGACAAATTATGTTAATAATGTTAATTCACCTGTCTGATCTTTACCTTAGCATTGGTCTTAAAACTGTATTCTAATTGATTAATTTATTTAATTAATTAAACTTTGAGTAATTATAAATAAGCTTTAATTATGTAATAATTATGACATATTCAAATAAGAGAGTATAAAATATACAATCAATAAATACTTCTTTTGGCTTTTTTTACTTTTTTGCTTTTTTTCCTTTTTGTCTAAGTAGTTTTTTTTGTCTGCTATATTAAAAAAAAACTAGTAATTTTTATAATAATAAATACTAGTATACAAAAAATCGATTAATTAAAATTTATAATTCACTGATTAAAACAACTTAAATTTTTTTTTAAAAATATATAATTTAATTATTATTACTGTAACATTTATATACAAATTACAGAATTAGTATTTATTAAAAGGCTACTGAATTATCTTATTAATTCTTAGATATTTTATTAAGATATGTTGCTAGAGGCTCTGAAACTAGTACTTTCACCAAATTGATAAATTTTAAAAAATAAAAGCCTAATAATCTTTTTTTTATTAGCTTTAGTGTCTTAAAAGAAATAAATAAAGAAACCACAAATTAATCTTTCTGAATTTACTTCATTTTTAAAAAGTATAAAATCAGATTATTAGAATGCTAGTCAAATATTGCAAACTGTGTTAGATAAATTTAAAAATCATTATATTGCAGCAAAGTCAAAATCTGCCTTCTGATTATCTTTCTTCTTTTATTTTTTTTTTGGTGTTAAGGTGAGGCCTTGCTCATATCTTTATTAGTAATTTTAGTTGTATATATTAATATACTATATATTAAAGATATACTAAGATTGTAAAATATAAAATAAAAACTACATGCAAGAATTAAAGCTCAGACAACATTATCTGCAACCTAAACTGATCTTTCTTCTTTTATGATCTTAATCACAATCTAGATCTAATAGTTCAAGTTAAAGGTAATGCATATATATGAGTATAGGTCAAGTCAATTAAACAATACAAAAATAAAAAAAATTTGAATCCTCAGGCTATGTTTGCCTAAAAAAAAGAAAAATGAATGAAAAAGAATATAATTTAAGCAAGAATATGCTAAATAATCATCTAAACTAAATAGCTATATATAGATTTATAGAATTTACAATTTTATTTTGCTATTATTTTTTTTTTCATGAATATAATTTGCTTAAATAATGTTATACTTAATTGAAATGTTTATTTATGCTCTTAATAAAATATAAAATAAATATATTTTAGTTCAAATGTTAGTATTTGACTTCAACTCAATTAATTTATATAAATGCTAAGATAAGGGTCAGACAGGTAAATTGATATTATTAGCATAACCTAAAATGTGCTAATTTTTTTGTTAATTTGAACAGATTTATATTATTTACTGATAATTATTTTATAGCAAACTTAATTCATAACAAAATTATTTACAAATAACTAATTTAAAAATTTATTTTACTGCCAATTCACTAAAGCTAATAATATTTGATTTATTAGTTATAAAATTTAATAAAATAATTATAACTAATTTATTAAATTACATATATAAAATATTATAATTCAATTGTAGTTATCATTACTAATTTTACTATTTTCTTTATTTACTATTTATTGTGCTAAGCTAATCAGATTATATTTCATATTGCCTAAATCACAGTTTTTTTTTATAAAATACTAATCTATTTGTAATAGATTCAAACAAAATATTGTTTGTTGCTAAAAATGCAAATAATAACAAATTAATAATTTGAAAAATATTTAAATTAGTAGATAATATTTGTTGTAAATTATTATGTTTTTATTTTCTAAAATTTCTATTTGTTGTATGGATGTCAATTGGTCAAATTTTTCTTTTAGTTCATTCTTAATAATATCTTTGCTATAAATTTGCAATTCTTTTTCTATATTTGAAATATAAAAAAACCTAATTTTTGCAATAAATTCAAGATATAACAAGTCTAATTGAGTATGTTTATTACCAAGAAGCTATTTAACTGTCAAAAAATTTCTTTCACAAACAGCCTGAGATGGAATGATTGAAAACAAAAATATTGCATGATCTTGCAATTCATTATTTTCATCATCTTGTACATTAATGCTCATTTATTATTTAATTGAAGTTTCTTTAAATTAATTATAGCTTAGATTATAAGAGAGTTCTTTTTGTCTTCAGACTCTTATTTTAGTTAAAAGATTTAAATATAATATTTTAGTATGGCCCAAATTATACCAAATAAGTGAGGCAGTTTTATATATTCTATTTAATGCTTTCTGTTTTAATTTAAATTTTATAAAATAGATATTATTTATTAATTCATAAAATATTAAAAAAAATAAATAAATAAATAGCAATCCTATTTTAATCTGATTAAAGTCACCTATTGAATATTAATAAAATTATTAATTTATAGCCTATTAGGTAATTTTAATCTAAGTAAAAATAGAATTTTTTTAATTAAATAATATTATCATGATACAAAAGATAAAACCAATATGCCAATATATATATATCATTTATAAATTTTTCAAAGTGAAGATTAAAGTTGGTAATAATTAAAAACTTCTATCAGTTTGCTAAATCAATCCAATTAATACTTGCACCAAGTTTTACTAGACTAACAAAACATTTAGCTAAATTTGCATTTCGAGCCTCAAGACTATTTGTTAAGTCTTTGATTGATTTAAGAATTAAAGATATTTGATAACCTTTTGAATAAAATTCTTTTTTTTTTTTTTAAATATTAAGGTGAGTACTTGCGACTCAGGATTTTATTGATAGTACATTCAGCTAATGGTTGCATTACAACTACAGAGGGCAATCATGAAAAGAGTGTACAACTAGCCACTCGTACAACTTTAGTCATTGTCTAATTTAAGTAGTCTACCTGAAGGTTCTATACTAGCTGCCATACCTGGAACCTGCTTTTAAGTTCCCTATTTAATTACTCTGTTCCTGTATTCATCTACCTACCTACACCTACCAAGATGCCCTAGTTGATACCGATGCAAATATGCCATGGTCACTAAGTTTTTAAAGCAGTTCATTTATATGAGGAACCTTTGGCCTTGTACTAAACCTTCCAGAATCTTCTGTATCCTATTCTTATGGCTGACCTGGTATCGCTATGACTGAGACCAACACTGGCAGTCAGGATGTACCATTTAATCACTATGCCCTTGTAAAGTTCACCCCAACCTCAGTACTGACTTCACAACATATCTCTACTACTTTGGTATTCAATTCAAGTTTCACCAAGCTCCTAAACCAGATAGCCCAGAAAGGCAGATCATAATCATACACCTCTGGTTTACATGTTTGCCAGCATGTAACCTTTTTCTCCAGATTCTGGAAATTCTGGTAGCCTGGTTGGTTCCATTCAGCCCCTTCTCAAAGGCTGGCTCTTTGCCCAGTTTTACAAGTTCTAGCTCCATTTTATAGATCTAGTCTTTATAGTAGCACTATTGAAAGTTCAGGTTATCTTTCTACTTGAGTCTTCCAAGTGAACTTCCATTTTCATATCTGGTTCTCATGATTTATACAGTCTAAGAACTTATTTTGGGTTCACACTGCTTAGTACCAGTTTGTGTTCCTTCATACAACATTGCACAAATGCCCTAGACCTTCCAGTCATACTGGTATAACATGGGTTACAGGTGTCTTATCCTAACTAATCACAGAAGACAGTTAACCATAGCATAGAAAGAATTGCAAATTTTCATCATCACTGGAATTTGAACTCTAGACCTGTCACTTGGGGGTTGACAACCTATCCACTTCACTAGGTTACCACACCCCTATTACTGAACTTCATACAAACCAGCAAGTAAGAATTATTATTGCATATAGCCTTACATCATCTGTTTATATTAAATCAAAAATTGAACAAGGTGAAACTTACTTACCCTTACTTAAGAAAATTTATTATAATTCTATTCTTATCTTTATTTACAACAAATATAACAACCACCTACTCAAAATTACCTTCTTTTTACCTTTTAATATTATTTCAAATATCTCATCATTTTCTATAATAATATTTCCTAAAGTTTTTATAGATGACACTGTTTGGCATAATAAAAGTCCTAAATCTCTTCAAAGTATTCTTAATGATACTCAAAAACTTTACAATTTAAATAATATTGAAATCAATTAAACTAAATCTGACCTTCTATATATTTCTTAAAACAAAAATAAACTAAATCTTACTATATCAAATCTATATTACAATAATCAAAAAATACCTTTACGTAAATTTCATAAAACTATATAATATCTTGGTATCTATTTTAACAGAAATAGTTCAACTAAACCAACATATGAGATGCTCTAAAACAAAGTTGAAAACTTTTTTGCTTTAATTAAATTTAAAAAATGCACATCTAAACAAATTTCTATTCTTTTTAATATAATACTATAATCATCTTTAGAATATCTTTTACAAATTTTATCAATTTCAAAAATACAACAATAAAAACTCTCATATCTACTTTTTATTACAACAAAAAAAATGCTTCATCTTACAAAAAATATATTCAATATTCTTCTCACTAATTTACTATCTTTTAAACTTCTAATGTTTCAACATTTGACTTAAAAAATAACAATATCTACAATAAAACAAATTTTTCATACTACTTCTCTTTTTAAACATATTAGTTTAGCCAGAATTAAAAATTGGCTTACTAAAATATGGCAACCTTTCTTACTTCCAAATACTGTTTTCAAGTTTTTATTAAAAACAAAAAACTTTATATTTATCTTTTAGCTTTCATTCTTAAATAATTTCAATTTTTTTCTTTTAGTTAATAATTCACTAAATTTACTACTGATCAATATTCCTAAATCTACAAAAATAATATATAATATTTTTCTATCTAATACTCTTATTCTCTAATTAACAGCCTTTGAAACAATAAAATACTCTTCATTAAACAGCTTACAACAGCCAATAACTTATATATTCTATTATAGAACAATATATATATATATATCAAGAAATTCATTCATGGACCTACCCTATCTTGGTTTACTAAACTTTCCAACCTTGTTTAAAACATTATAATTCCTCAAACATAACCACATCTTAACTTACTAAATATTAATATCTTTACTAATTCTCTTGATATACTTACTTCTTATTACTTATTATCATTAAATAAATAGTCTCTTGTTCTTTATAATTTACAAATTCTCTTTACAAAAAATTTATTTAATTTTTTTCTTTTTATAATATCTCTTTTAGTTTAATATCTCTAATTTCTACTAACTTATTTACATCAATATTTTAAACTTTTATTAATATTTCTCATATTAAACTATTAAAAAAAAATAACAACTATTTACTCTATATCAATAATTATAAAATTCATGCCCTTATTAATATTTAATAACAAGTAATCTCAATTTTTACACTACCCCAAATACCAACTATTTACATTCCTGACACAGAAATTTAAATAATTCAAAAAAACATATCTTCTTCTTATTACTAAAGCCAATTTTTAAATCTATTTCTATTAACAAAAAATTTTTTAAATAACACTTATTTTTATACAGATGCCTCAATTTTTAATGCACAAACATCTCATTTAAAAATTAGTATTGGATGGATCTCTAAATATAATACCCAAATTAAATTTAATTATACAATTTCTTTATATTCTAACTCTTTTCGAACAGAACTTAAAGCAATTGTTTACCTTTTATTTATTCTACTAATAAACTTATAAAGCAATATATATCTTGACAACCTATTAGCTCTAAAAAATATTCAATTATTTTCTTTCTTATACAAATTTTTATATAACAAAAACTGAAATATTTTATTTATTATTCATTATTTTATTCAACCAAAATTTTTTATTATTTCTTTTCATAAAATTAAATCTTTACTTTAATAATTCTTTTAGCAAAATGAGGCATCTCTAAACACTTAATTAAATTTAACTTTACAGCACTACTTTCTGTTTATTTTAAATAGTACAACTACATAATATCTACTAAAACTCAACTATTTTTACAGAATATAATTATTATATAATCATTTTTTCTTGGTCACAACTTAAATCTTTTCAAAGCCTATTCTCTATTAAATGGTTAACAAATGTTGACATTATTAATTTTCTAAACAATGATCAAAAATTCTACACATTTCATATTAAAATTATTAATAAAAACCTACCTACTATGCAAAACCTTAATTTATATTATCTATTCTTATATACTACTCAAATTGTATCTATTGTCAAACTCTAGAAGATATATTACATCTTTTTACATATTCTAAACAAAAATATAATTTTTAACAAATTCTTCAAACTTTAATTTCAAACATTACTCAACAACTAAATATTTCTTCTGAACTTTCAGATAAAATTTATACTATTTTGTTATAACAAACAAACAATCTACTACACTCTTATTTTCACAATTTTATTCAAGGCCTCTTTTCTATATCTCAATATGACAATGTTAAAATATTACTTCACAAAACAAGATCATCCTTCTTTATAGCTCTCTCAAATGCCTCTCTAAATTGGTTTTATTAACATATATGACTACTATACAACACTCTTCAATAACAATAAAAAAAGCTTGAAACATAACTAAAAAATCAAAATGTTCAAAAATATATTCTTTAACTCTACCTTCTTAATCTATTTCTAATACTACCAATACACCTACTATAAATCCAACTATATTTATTAAAAACTGGTTAATTTTAGACTATACACTTACTAACCATATTTACTAAATGCTAAAACTATCACCTTAGATTTCTTCCAACCTTTTTATATTTAAAATTAATTTGAAATAATTAATAATAGAATTATATAGAAATGAAGATGTAATATCACATTGGGTGTCTTAAATAAATAGCACAAATGTAGTTTAGAATTTTTAATATAATTACTTTTTATTATTTAATAAAGTTTCTAATTTGGCATAACAAATATATATATATATATATAAAACTTAAAAAAACAGTTTTTATTATAATTATAGCAAAGTAATACATTATATACAGCATATCAAAACTGACTTTGGTGCAGCCTTTTATAATTCAAATTCAATTTTTTTTTTTTTGCTAACTAAATACATC